CTAGAATTAATCTTTCTTCCTTTGAACTCTGATAGTGCTTTATGTTTTTCATCCTTTAATTATACAGCAGTCCTGTGTGTTAGATATTATTATTCTCCCAGTTTTTCATAGTTACTTTGAAAATATTTGCTGTAGTCACATATTTGGAATAGGTAATATGAGCGACAATCAAAAGGTTCTGGAGAGTGAAAGGCAGTTCTACTCCCATCACTGCCCTGTGATCACTCTTGCCAGTTTTTGTTTGTTTGTTTGTTTTTCCAAGGCAGAGTCTTGCTCTGTCACCAGGCTGGTGTGATCTCCGCTCACTGCAGCCTCCGCCTCCCGGGTTCAAGCGGTTCTCCTGCCTCAACCTCCTGAGTAGCTGAGACTACAGGTGTGCACCACCATGCCCAGATAAGTTTTGTATTTTGAGTAGAGACGGTGTTTCGCCATGTTGGCCAGGATGGTCTGGATATCTTGACCTCGTAATCCACCTGCCTCAGCCTCTCAAAGTGCTGGGATTACACACGTGAGCCACTGCACCCAGCCTATGTGTCTTGTTTTTAAAAACACAGATGTTGGCATAAGATAAACACGGTGGTCCACCGGTAAGTATTTAGGTTGTTCCCAACCTTTTGCATTAATCAATGCTGAGATGTACATAATTCTTGCATATTTGCGTGAATATGTTCATAGGATGCATTGCTAGAAATGGAATTGTGGGATCCAGGGTTCTGTGCATTTTAAATATTGATGGGTGTTGCCGGATTCCCTTCCGTTAGGGCCATACCGTTATCTCACTGTCAATGTGTAAGGGCGCCTGTTTCTATTTCCTTGCCAACAGCTTCTTCTCAACTTTTTTGTTTGACATCACACACACACACACACACACACACAGATACACACACACACACACACTACTGCACGTGAGCCACTGCACCCAGCCTATGTGTCTTGTTTTTAAAAACACAGATGTTGGCATAAGATAAACACGGTGGTCCACCGGTAAGTATTTAGGTTGCTCCAACCTTGCATTAATCAATACAGAGATGTACATAATTCTTGCATATTGCAAGTGAATATGTTCATAGGATGCATTGCTAGAAATGGAATTAGACTAGGTTCTGTGCATTTAAATATTGATGGGTGTTGCCGGATTCCCTTCCGTTAGGGCCATACTGTTATCTCACTGTCAATGTGTAAGGGCGCCTGTTTCTATTTCCTTGCCAACAGCTTCTTCTCAACTTTTGTTTGAGCATCACACACACACACACACACACACACACACACAGATATACACACACACACACACACACAGATACACACACACACACACACACACACACAAATAGCCCGCTTGTTCCAAAAGCATGGACATTTTACGTTTCTACTTACAGTGTGCGCACACTGACTGAAGCTCTGTGTTGCAGTGATATGTGTTGCTAGGATTGTGGCTCTGTTTCGAATTTGCTAGCCAGGCTATGGCTTTCCAGTCAGGTATTTCTTGTTTTGTTCATGCTGTTGCTGTCCTTGGGCTGTGTGAATTTCCCTCCACTGCCCAGCCAGATTTCCCTTCCGGTGGACGGGCTTAGTGTCTCATCCAGCAGCCCTGTGCCCTGGTGATCTGGGCCGAGTGTGTCATCCGATGGCCCTGTTTCCTGGTGACCTGGGCCGAGTGTCTCATCTGGCAGCCCTGTTTCCTGGTGACCTGGGCCGAGTGTCTCATCCGGCAGCCCTGTTTCCTGGTGATCTGGGCTGAGTGCCTCCATGAGAAGTTGCACCCATCTTCTCCAGTAGTGCATCATTTCACAGCAAGCAACACATTTTCACCACGTTTCTAGTGGGACATGTGCTAGCTCTTTTCTGGGCATCAGCAGACCTGGCTTTTTTCTGGTTCAAGCAACAGCTGGTGAGTTACCAAAGACAAGTCGCATCTGGCCCCTGGTCCTTTGCTTTATAAGTAGAATCACAGTCCGAGTGGGCATCACTGCCCTGGTCTCTCTGCGGTGCTGAGTGTTGTGGGGATGATGGCTAAGTGTCAGGGTGCATTTCCACCACTAGGGGATTACAGTCCAGCAAAGACACAGGAGGAAAGCTAACAGCCCCGGGCAGGTACACAGAACCAGAGGAGTTTGGAAGGGTGGTTCCAAGCTCCGTGGTGTGATTGATGTGATCACAATAAACATTTTATCTCTAAGTCTTGGGCCATTGGACCAAGAGAAGAGAGAGCTGGTGTTGAGTTGTAGTGAGAGGTGTGTGGTTCGTGTACCTGCTGAGCCTGGCTGGGACTCAATTCCATTTTACCTTCTGTTTCCACCTTTTTCATGCTCCTGCTTGTTTCTCCAGAAAAAATTGCAATAAATTCTTTTCAAAAATTTTACAAAAGCCATAGATGCTTATTGAAAATAGTTCAAATGATATAGAAGACAGAAAGATAGTGAATGTTTTTCTGTTGTGTGTTTGGATGAATGTGTCTTTGGGGTAGTCACTATTAACACTGGGTGTATTTCCTTCCAGATCTTTTCCAGTGTACCTACAAATATGTATGTACACTTTGTAAAGAACAAAATAGTACCTGATAAACACTGAGTCTCCCTACTCCCACTGCGCAGTCTACGTGGACATCCTTTCATGGTGATACGATGAGACCTGATCGACTCCTTTTGTTCGCTGGAGTGACAGGTAATAATAGCAACAGATAACTCACCTTCAGCGGGCATTTAGCATGTGGCAGGGTCTGTGCTCCAGGCAGGCTACATGAAGTGGGTCTTAAGGCTTTTTACAACAATGCTATGGGTGAACACAGTGATTGTTAACATTTTGCAAATGATAGAATTGCAGTAGAGAGAAGCAGAGCTGCTTGCTCAAACTCATGGCACGATTCCCGAGAGAGAGAACACTTTTAAAACAATTGTTGTTATAGCCAGGTGATTCACGATCATTTCAAGAAATAGTGCATTCAGTGAATAGATTTCAGGGTCTGGTACAGTCTGGGAGTTGTTCCTGAAAATGTACTGGGCTAGAGGTAAGGGAACGGTCCATTGGCCCTGGGACCCTAGTGCAAGGAGGGAGGTCCCGGGGAGAGGGGGCATGGAGAGGAGGTCTCTGAACAAACCTTGCAACATCCATTTCTGCCGAATCTGGCCCGAGGTCTGGTTCTTGACATGTACACTTTTCAGAGATACTTGGTTTTGATTTTTATCATGGCTCACCTGAGCAGCCATGGTTTCAAACTGCCTGGAGATGTGGTCTGGAAGGCCAGTGCTATGCCCATCCTTCCCGCTCCTGCAGGAGGGGAGTCATCCTGGGACTAGAGGGCTTCGCCTGTAATCAGCTATCTCATAATAAGTGGATTTGATGCTGGTTTCGCTAGGTCAGGAAATTTCCCATTTGGAAGGAAAACGGATATTTGTTTTTGGGTTTTGCTGAAGAGTCACAGGGTTCAGAGCAGGGACTGGAAGTTTGTTGAGACACATGTGAGTGCACTCAAACATCTTCCATGAAGCGGGGAAATAAACATAGTGTTCCAGAGAGGTCCCTGGCTTTGGGATATAAATATTTCTGTAACAGAATGGTACTGGATGTCTGCTGTATTTTTTCTCTACTATTTTGGCAAGTTTTATTTGGGTGTGTGTCTCCTGTACAGAAGGTATGACATCAGTTTTTGCCACCAAGTATTTACAGCCATCGGTGCCTCCTATGTGGGTCACTTTTGTGCTGTGGTTTCTTTGGGGAAATTGTAGGTCTCCTACCCAAAGCACATTGCCCATTTCAAGATGCTCCTGGTTTCTGAACACCTGTGGCAGTGCCTTCCATGTGGGTGAAGCCAGCCGAGAAAGTATCCCTCCCCAGGAGGTGGGGATTGGTGATTGCCTGAGGGAGGAGGCCGGGGATGAGCCCTGGACTAGAACTTGTCACCGGCTGCTTTTCCTTCCCCTCCTCTCCCTCCTATTTTTCCACCACCCCCACTTTTTAAAAATTTCTTATAAAAAATTAAGCAATTATTTTGGTTTCGTTTATTCACTATTCCTTGCTAATTTTATGCAGAGTGAGCCTGGGACAATGGGAAGGAAAGTTGTACTTAGCTTCAGATGATCCTACCAGCCCAGCATTGAGGGGCTTCCACCAGGCGGCATTATCAAGTGGCATTGTGGAGGTTCTCCTTTCAGTCCTCAGCGTTAACCAGCAGAGGCAGGTGATACTTATTCCTGGTTAATGTTGAGGAAGTTGAGCTCAAAGTGGCTAAGGGAACTTCCCAAAGTCACATAGGAAGTAGCAGAGTAGAACCAAACACAGATTGTCTCTGAATCAGGCAGGTCATCAGATTCCAAAATGGGCTCTTACTTTTTGGAGGTCAAAAAGCTGAACAGACACAGATCTATCTTTCTTTCTTTCTTTCTCTCTTTCTTTCTCTCTTTCTTTCTTTCTCTCTTTCTCTCTTTCTCTCTGTCTTTCTGTCTGTCTTTCTGTCTTTCTTTCTTTCTTTCATTTTCTTTCTCCTCCTCCTCTTCTTCTTCTTCTTCTTCTTTTTCCTCTCCTCCCTCTCCTCCCTCTCCTCCCCCTCCTCCCCCTCCTCCTCCTTCTTCTCCTCCTTCTACTCCTCCTCCTTCTCCTCCTTTCTCCTTTCTCCTTTCTTCTTCTTACTTCTTCTTTCTTCTTCTTTCTTCTTCTTTCTTCTCCTTCTTTCTTCTCCTTCTTCTTTCTTCTCCTTCTCCTTCTTCTTTCTTCTTCTTCTTTCTTCTTCTTCTTCTTCTTCTTCTTCTTCTTCTTCTTCTTCTTCTTCTTCTTCTTCTTCTTCTTCCTCCTCTCTCTCTTTATCTCCTCCTCCTCTCCTCCTCCTCCTTCTTCTTCTTCTTTCTTCTTTCTTCTTTCTTCTTTCTTCTTTCTTCTTTCTTCTTCTTTCTTCTTTCTTCTTTCTTCTTTCTTCTTTCTTCTTTCTTTCTTCTTTCTTCTTTCTTCTTTCTTTAACAACTTCTTTCTTCTTTCTTCTTCTTCTTCTTCTTCTTCTTCTTCTTCTTCTTCTTCTTCTTCTTCATTTTTTTCTTTTGAGCTAGGTTTTCACTATGTTGCCTAGGCTGGTCTAGGCTCAGAATTCTCCTGCCTTAGCGTTCTGAGTGCTGGGCTTACAGGTTTGTGTCACCACATCCAAGCGAACAGAGATTTCTTTAAAGAAGATTTACAAATGGCGAAAAAATATGTGAAAAAAATGCTCAGTATCACTTATAATCAGAGAAATGCAAATCAAAACCACAGTGAGTATCATCTCTGCCGGTTAGGATGGGTATTATCAAAAGACAAAAAATAACAAGTGCTGGCGAGGATATGGAGACAAGGGAGCTCTTACACACTGTAGGGGGGGTGTAAACTAGAGCAGCTGGCTGGGCGCAGAGCACGCTGACATCCAGCACTTTGGGAAGCCGAGACCGACAGATCACCTGAGGTCAGGAGTTTGAAACAGTCTGTGTGCCTTGGTAAACCGCCTCTACTAAAAACACAAGGATGTTCAGGAAGCGAAGGTGGATCACACCTGTAATCCCGGTGCTGTTGGGAGGACTGAGGTGGGCGGGTCACTTGGCCCAGGTTCAAGACCAGCCTGGCCAAGCGTGGCGACACCCCATCTCTACTAAAATACAAAATTTGCCAGGTGCAGTGTGAGCGCCAAGTAATCCCACCTACTCAGAAGGCTGAGGCATGAGAACCACTGGAACACGGGAGGCGGATGCTACAGTGAGCAAGCCGAGATTGCACCATTGTATTCCACCCTGGGCAACAGTGAGACTCTGTATCGCGAGAAAAAGAGAAAGAGTAAGAGTAGCTAGGGCACCCACTATGGCAAACAGTATGGAGGTTCCTCAGAAAACTGCAGATGAAGTACAGTGTGATCCAGCAGTCCACTACGGTGTAGATACCCAAAAGAAAAAGGAAATCGGTATGGAGAAGGCATCCACACACACCTCTGTTTCCTACAGCACTGTTCACCATAGTGGGTGCCTAGCATTCCATTCCATTCCAATCCATTCTCCATTCCATTCCATTCTTTATTCCATTCCATTCCATTCTCCATTCCATTCCATTCTCCATTCCATTCCATTGTCCATTCCATTGCATTCCATTCTCCATTCCATTCCATTCTCCATTCCATTCCATTCCATTCTCCCTTTCGTTCCATTCTCCATTGCATTCCATTCCATTCTCCATTCCATTCCATTTCATTCCATTCTCCATTCCATTCCATTCCATTCTCCATTCCATTCCATTCTCCATTCCATTCCATTCCATTCTCCATTTCGTTCTATTCTCCATTACATTCCATTCCATTCTCCATTCCATTGCATTCTCCATTCCATTCTATTCTCCATTCCATTCCATTCCTTTCTCCATTCCATTCCTTTCTTCATTCCATTCCATTCCATTCCATTCCATTCTGTTCTGTATTCCATTCCATTCCATTCTCCATTCCATTCCCCATTCCATTCCATTTCCCATTCCATTGCATTCCCCATTCCATTCTATTCCATTCCATTCCATTCCATTCCATTCCATTCCATTCCATT